TGCTGTGAACCTGTGTGTTAATATGTTTAATCTTACTGATACATATGATATATATAATATGTATACATGTATAAGGCAAGACAGCCGTCTTGATGAATCACAAAAACGCAATCTGAAAATTTTGCAGCACTGTAACTTACATGATTTAAAGGTGCTGCCTTTCATAGATGCATAATGATGAACTTATTTATTTGAAAACAGGTACATCATAGGGCATGATGCAGGCAGCTGGTTAAAAGTTGATTCACGGACTGGTGAGATCCAGTTTTCTAGGGAATTTGATACAAAGTCAAAATACATTACTGATGGAATGTACGCAGCAGAGCTCCTGGCTATAGATGGTAAGAAATGGTTTTCAATAGTTTAATAAATCCATGCTATCATATGAAATATTATAAATACAGTTATTCTAATGTTGATGTGTGGGTGGCTCAAAATTTATTATTTAATGGTATAAGTGAGATGTATGGCAAGATTTTTAAAAATATATTTCATTTGTTATTTTTAGTTTATATGTATGAGTATATTGCCTGCATGTATGAAAGTGCACCCATGCTATGCAATGCCCACAAAGGTCAGGAGAGGGCATTGGATCCCCTGGAACTGTAGTTACAGATGGTTGTTAGCTGCTGTGTCGGTGCTGAGAATCAAACCCGAGTCCTCTGCTAGAGCAGCCAGTGCTCCTAACCACTGAGCCATCTCTCCAGCTCTGAGATGTATGGCAAGTTTTAAGTTCCGTAAGTCAAGAACTGAATGTATCAAATCTAAAAAAAAAAGAAGTGAATTTAATTATACTAATAACTATAATTTACACTCAAGCCATGATTTATTTCATTTAGTTCCAAAACAGAACTACAGGTGTTTTACAGTAAAAAACATAAATGTTAAAAAATGTATGTTGATAAAATTTTGTTTCTATTTATGACCACATAAACAGACGCCTGTAAAGTATTCTAGGAGTACATCCTCAAAATCAGAGTTGCAAGCTGTGCACAGAGTTCACTGTGGAGTCACCTGAGAGGGGGGCAGTGTGCCCAAGAGTGCGGTTACCTTAGAGTCACCCAAACTGAGCAATGATGGGAAACCTGCTAGAGTCCTACGTACTTAGACACACTGCCCACAATAAGATGCTCCAGGCCAAGAAAGCAGAAAGTGATTCCGAATCAGAAGATGCAAGTCAAAACCATAGATACACTAAATAAATTTGTAATTGAGCCACCTCTCACATGGAAAAAATCTATGACACATTCCTTTTGTTGAATAACAACAGGAATTTGTTTATGTATCAATAGTTAATGATTCTCCAGACCAGCGCCTAGGAAACCAGCTGCTACAGAACAAAA